ATATAGATATATATGTATATATATATATATATTAGGCTGTCAGAAAAGTCTTGCATAGAAAATATGGCATAGAAAAACAGAAAACAGATATGTCATGACTTTCCTGACAACCCAATATATAAAATCATTAGCAAGTATTTCCAGAGGTTTTGAACTGCTGCATCTGAATTGGCTAGGATGAAAGTCCCAGTCAAACCATGATAGTTTAAATTCACCTCAGAGTCATGGTATATTTCTCATTGTGGCTGTGTGACTTGAATCTGTAGAGCCATTGAGAGCTTTTTTGGCAAAAAAAAAAAAAAAAAAAAAGTCTTTAATGTGTATTATGTTGTGCTAATAAATTTGTGATGTAATTCAATAAAACTTATTTTCTTTTTCAGTTCTATCCGGAGGACCATTGCCTCAAGGGCATGAATTTGAACTCTACGAAGTTAGATTTCACTGGGGGAGAGAAAACCAGCGTGGCTCTGAGCACACGGTTAATTTTAAAGCTTTTCCCATGGAGGTAAGACTAACAAATCGTCTTGTAAAAATCTTGTTGTTCCAGTAAAGTGTTTAGCAATTTACCGAATATGGTTTAGTTTAAAAGTAAATGCATGGCTCTTGAATTTATCTATTTGTACTAAAACAAGAAAGCACTTCTTGAAATATAAGCTTGGGGCAGCATTCGAAGCTTCCCGTCTCCCTTAATGGGCTTCGGATGTGCACAGGAGCGACTGGCCCCGACAGCAACCTCGGTGATTAACTTTCATCCCTGGTATTATTACCTTGTAACAACTGCTGCCTCCGCAAATCCAGGAGGTCACTTCTGTAGCTATGAATAGGTGATGAGCTGAAAGCAAATAACCTTTGGGGAAACCTCAACAATAATTAAGTCTGGTTTAGCTAGTTTAAAATGGGAAGGCGGGTTTTACTGACCCCAGGCCGTTATAGAGAGCAAGAGAGAGGGAGAGATGGAGGGAGAGAGAGAGAGATGGAGGGAGAGAGAGAGAGATGGAGGGAGAGAGAGAGATATGGAGGGAGAGAGAGAGATATGGAGGGAGAGAGATATTGAGAAAGAGATATTTTTAGGGAATGATTCTTTTCTGAACAGTTCTTTCCCTCATTTCTTCTTCTTTATACATTTTTAAAAAAAGTTCCTTTTTTTCTTCCATGGGTGAGATTGAGAGAGAGAATGGAGAGAGAGCACACAGCACATTTCCAGTAAGATTTGGATGCCGTGACATCCCCCAGCTTCAGCCAGCCCCAGACCCTGGGCTGCATGTGTGTGCGTCGTGTCCCCGGGAGGTCCCTGGACTTGGATGCTGAGCCTTCCCGTGAGCACCAGCCTGGCAGGGTGCAGCGTTTTACTGCGGACCCACCACCTGGTGCCTCCCGATGATCTTATGTGTTAACTTCTGCTTTTCCCTCAGGATCTGCTACAAGTGTCAGGTCTTATAAGGGACTTTTTCTGAGGGCCTTCCCCAGCAGAGTTCATTCTCCCTCTGTACTCCCATGCATTTGTGGGTCACTTTCCTGGTGCTGGCCCCATGGACTGGAACGTGCTGTGTCCAACACGTCCTTCTCACTGACTGTGGATCTTGAAGTGAGTGGCCCCCTCCCCCTCCGATTCACTCCCATGACTTAGCCACGCTAGGCAAGGGAAACACAGCCAGTCTGTGCTAGTGAAATTGAGGGGGTGTCTTTATGGGTCTAGGCCTTCTTTCTGTTTCTTCCTATAGGAACCTCAGTTCTTTCCAGGAAGTAGCCTTTGGGTACCGTGAAAGAGCATTTGCTGTGGGCAGTAGAATGTAACCCTTCTTTCTCCGTCTATCCTGACTGCACATGTGCTTGGTACTAAATATAGAATTGCTCATGGCCAGACCCCATGTCCAGTACTGCCCCAGGGGCTGAAAATCACTACACTATAATTTTATATTAATGTTACATGTGCTTTAGAGCATTAACAATTATTCAAAAAATTCTTTTCGAAAGTTTAGAATATCCTGTCATTAAAAAATACCCAAGTCTTCTTTTTTTTTTTTTTTGGAGAGGTTTTTGCTATAGGGCATGTGCGCTTGCCAGAAAGACAGAGAGAGAGACAGAGAGATAGAAAGCGAGAAATCACCCCCCCCTCCCCAGAGGGGATGGCCACACCACAATCCCTTCTCCTCCATTCTCCTCCATTCTCCTCTCGGGATCTTGGGCATGCACGCACATGCGCCTGGCGAGTTTTAAGCTACCGGGTCCGGGCCTTGAACCGCAGTCGACCACGTGGGAGTCCAGCGACATTGCCATTATGCTAACTGCTGGTCCTAAAAATTACCCAAATCTTAAAAAGTGAAATATTAAATGTTTTAAGGACGGAGGGAAAAAGAAAAAAATAATGTGGGATGTTGAAGAGTATATGAGGCATGCAGCAGTGGAGAAAAGAGAAGACAGTGTTTTTGTTTTTGTTTTTGTTTGTTTTTGTTTTCATGCCAGAGCGTAGAAATGCTGGCCAGAGGGGGAGAAGGAGAAAGAAACCCCCAATGGAGCATGGTCATACCACAACTTCTTCCGCCATTTCTCCATTCTGTCAGGATTCTGGGCATGTATATATATGCACCTGATGTGTTTTTCAAGCTGCTGGGGCTGGGATTTAAATCATGGTTAGCCATGTAGTTTCCTGTTCTCTTAACTACTGGGCCATGGGTTTGGCCCTTCTTTTTTCAAAGATTATTTTATTCATAATAACCAAGTACACACATGAGAAAAAGGAGGGAAGCACACTTAATAAGGTCTTGTTATACTGTGATCCCCTCTTCCTAGGCTTCTAGCTTGTCAGGATCCTGAGGGTGCATACGTGTGCTTGGCATGTTTCCAGGCTAACGCGCCATGTGTCCTTCAGCACAGCAGTTCAGTTTGCTACTAATTGCACCAGCATGCTGGCCCAAGAGGATAGCTTTTAAGGGTGTAGTTGGAGAAGATCTTTAAACATTACCTTTCTAGGAGCTGTTTCCTCCATGCCTATACATAGTCTCTCCTTTCTATGGCCTTAAACAGTTCCGGGGCATCTCTGGCTACTGCCCTATTCTTAGCCAACCTGAGAAGGAAAAGTTCACACCGAACACATCAAAGAAGAGACAGGACACTCAACATTCCAGTTGAACTCCCTGGGTGATAGAGGATGAGGTGAAGGCAGGACCAGCTTTGGACTATTAGGGGACTCAGTCTTTCTCTGAAAGAGAAATGGTTTGAGGGGTCATTTCTTCATATTGTTCAATAAGTCATCAAAGGTGAACTCCAGTAATCAAACATTTTAGGGAGAGATGCACATACTTGGGTGGGCAGGAACTTCTGGATGGAAATTCAGTGGTGTTGCTTGTGTCAGGTAGAATTTACAGCCTTGGGAGAGTTTAATGAGATCAGGGGAGTCTGTGATCTGTGTTCTTTGCTCCGTAGTCAGATCAAGTTTCCAGACCACATGTTCAGATTGGTCTGGCTCCTTGCTGGCGTTTTAATGGCTCCGGTCTATTTGGCACAGGTAATGGTTTGTTCTGAATGAAGATTAAATTCTGCTAGTGAGGCTTGGTTTCTGCAGAAATATTTATTTTTAGGATAATGAGATTACTGACTGTAATTTTTCCAAAATAAGGATGCATAATAGTTATATTCTTTGTTATCTCAGACTATCCCTTACCCAAGCCCAAAGAAAACTTTCGTGTCAGGCCCCCTACATTGGTTTAGGGCTATATACTATTGAGTACAGAAATTCTGTGGGTGTGCAGAAGTAGAGGGAGATTTATAAAGCCAGGTTTTTTTCTTTTTTTAAAAATTTTCATAGAGGCTGTGAATAATGAGCTGAGGTTTTAATTTTGTTTTTCTATAGTTTTAAAAAATTCTCTTTAAATATTTATTGTAATTTATGATTTACATATAATCATTATGCATTTTTGTAGGATACAGAATGGTCTTTAAAAGCATATATATGGTGCATAATAAACAAGTTGATGATATAAACTTATTCAACACCTTCAGCATTTAATATTATACTATGTTGTGAACATTTGAAACCTGCTTCAGTGGTTATTCTGCAAGTATGTACTGAATTGTCTATGACGTTCTTTATATAAAATACAGTTCTAGAGAAGAAGACTCCTCCATTGTTGCCGAGAACCAGTTATTTCAGGGAATAAGAGAAATGAAGATTTTCTCCTGATAATTCAGCCTTTGCTCCTAGTCTTGAGTGGAGAGGCAAGGGGCAGGCCTTCGGAAGAAGACTCCATTGCTGCAGAGAACTTGTCATTTCAGGGAATAAGAGAAATGAAGATTTTTCTGCTGATAATTCAGCTTCCTGCTTCCAATCTCGAGTGGTAGGGCGCCTCTCTACCCTTCTCTCTGTCTCTCTCTGTCTTCTCATTTTCTGGTAATTTTTCCTTTCAAAAAATTTTAAGGTAAATTATTATCTTGGCTTTCAGATTCTCCTTTATCTTGCTAATCATCCCCTTTCCCTCTCTCCTCTAGGAGAGGCAAGGGGCAGGCCTTCAGAAGAAGACTCCTCCATTGCTACTGAGAACTATGCCACTTGGTTTTTATTCTTTGCTTTTTTTTTTTTAATAATTTTTTTTTTTTGGAGAGGTTTTCGCTATAGGGCGCATGCGTTCGCCAGCCAGACAGAGAGAGACATAGAGACAAAAAACGAGAAATCACCCCCCAGGGGGGATGGTCACGCCGCAGTCCCTTCTCCTCCATTCTCCTCTCGAGATCTTGGGCACACACGCACACGTGTCCGGCGTGAGTTTTAAGCCACCGGGTCCGGGACGCGAACCGCCACCGGGTCCAGCGACATAGCCATTACGCTAACTGCTGGTTCCCTTAATAAATTTTTTGATTTTTTTTTCCTTTTTTTTTCTCTTTCGTTACCCTACCCCTTTCTGTTTTCTTATTCTTTTTCTTTTACCTCATCACTTTTTTGCACAATCTCTGTTTGCTGAATGTCTAGATGGATCTAAGGGGACCATAGCCAAACATCCAAATACTATTAGGGTTAACATATTTCTCAATACCCTCTGAATCTGCTGCAGAAAGAGATAAAAATGAAATGGCAAAGAGATTGAAGATCACCTCTTCCTGCATGCTCCTGAATGCTCAGATTGAACTTCAAGAATTAGGAAGAAATGCACCATCCCTCAAATAACTAGAAATCACTATAGGATCACAAGAAATATGGGAAAGCAAGAAAATACCTCTCCTCCAAGGGAAAAGAATAACTCTTCTTTATCCATAGACAGTTCAATGGAAATCAGGGAAATGTCTGATAAAGAATTTAGATTATTCATAGTGACAAAGTTAACAGAGGTACACCTGAAGAAAGCCAATGAGCTCTAGAAGAGGCAGGAAAACAGAGCCGAGGAGTTTCAGAAGGTGAAGAAGTTCTTGCATGATTCGAAAGAAGAAATGCATGCCTTTTGGCCAGAACCTCCACTGTCCAGTAATTAACCAAAATGACCAACACAAAGGAAAGAGGAGAGGTACCTGATATATGTTCTCTAGGCCTTTTAGAAAACGTGGAGTTATTCCTTTGGCAACATATGTGCGAATCTACAAGAAAGGTGATATTGTAGACATTAAGAGAATGGGTACTGTTCAAAAAGGAATGCCCCACAAGTGTTACTGAGGCAAAACTGGAAGAGTCTACAGTGTTACACAGCATGCTGTTGGCATTGTTAAGGGCAAGATTCTTGCCAAGAGAATTAATGTGCATATTGAGCATATTAAGCATTCAAAGAGCAGAGAGAGCTTCCTAAAACATATGAATGAAAATGACCAGAAAAAGAAAGAAGCCAAAGAGAAAGGTACCTGGGTTCAACTAAAGCACCAGCCTGCTTCACCCAGAGAAGCACACTCTGTGAGAACCAATGGAAAGGAGCCGGAGCTACTGGAACCTATTCCTTATGAATTCATGGCATGATGGGTGTTAAAAATAAACTAATCTGTGGTCTATAAACATGTTTGCCTTAATTGAGTAGAATTATGTCCCTTCCCCAAAGCTAATTTTTATTGGGCTCTAATTCATTTTGTATCTTTATTCAAATTTAGTATTTTTTCACCCGAAAGATGTTAGGTGGTTTGGTTTATGCAACAAATAAAACTCAGTTGGTTACGAAGAAAAAAAAAAAAGAGGAAATACACACCATAAAAAAGAATTAAACAGAAATGTTAGAGATGAAGGCTATAACACAGGAAATCAAAACCTCCCTTGAAAGTATTAAAAGCAGACTAGATCATACAGAAGATTGAATCTCAGATGTGGAAAACAGAATCACTGGCCTAAAAAAAAAAAATCCACCACAAAGACTGAGAAAATAGTCAAAAAAAAATACACAAGAAATACTAGATACCATCAGATGTCCAAACATCCAGGTAATTGTTATCCCAGAAGGTGAAGAGACTAATAAGGACATTGATAATCTATTCCATGAAATCCTGGAAGAAAAATTTTCAAAACTAGAGAGGTAGTCAAAGATCCAGACCCAAGAAATACATAGGACCCCAAGTACAATCAACCCAAGAAGATCTTCTCCAAGACACATTATAGCCAGATTGACCAAAACCACAGACAAAGACAAGGTACTCAGACTGGCAAGAGAGAAACAGCAAGTTACCTACAAAGGATATCCCATCAGGCTAACAGTGGACCGCTCATGAGAAACAATGAGAAACAATGTGAGCAAAGAAAGAGTGAGAAAATATAATCAAAGTGTTGAGTGAAGAACAATTTCAATCAAGAATACTATACCCAGCAAGATTATCCTTCATATGAGAAGAGAAGACAAGAACATTCTCAGATAAACGAAACCTGAAAGAATTTACCGACACCAGTTTTTCAAGAAGTTCTGAAGGGAGTGTTATATCATGAAAACTAAAGTCAGACACACAGAAATAAGAGTTAAAAAACATCTAAGAAAAGGGCCAGCATAATGGTAGGCACAGGTCCAGAGTTGAATATTATCTTCCAGAATTTAAATGGAAAGCTTGGACCACAACAGAAGTTAGATTAAGTACACAAGACAGAGCTGATGAAATAGAATTTTGTGGCTTTTGACTAAAACAATACTGATCTTTTTCTATGCTTTGTCGTCCAGAGATAAGGATTTATTTTCTTCTCTTGAGTTGTCAATAGATCCAGTAACTATTTGAATAGAATCCTAACCTGCTTCCAGGCTTTAAGTCTTAAGCAAAGTTCTCTTAATATTTTCTGATTTTCACTTATTAAAACTAAAACTGCCTTTCTCGAAATTAAAAAAAAAAGTATTAAAAAATACCTATTTAATGACCACAGTAAGCTATATAGCCTCAGCTAGGTGCTGTTTTATAGTATATCCATTCTATTCATAGTTTCATGCCTAAAGTCAAACATTTGTTCACAGATATTTATATATCAGCTGAACTTGTTATTGAAAGTAGTTAAATCAATTAAGATATTTTCTTAACCAATAAAATGTGGGAGAAAAAGAAAGGAATGGAAAGCAACTGCAGATACCAGAGATAGAGTGGGAGGAGTGTGGGATACAGCAGAGAGTGAGAAATAGAGATGGATATATATATATATATATCTCCATATATCTATTTACTAAACAAGTAATGGAAAATTATTTGCGATGATAACATGTATGACTAAGCCACTATACAGTGTATTCTGGATGGGAAAACTGCATCATGTATGCTGTGGTGATGTTCAGTGAATGAATGCAAAATAATTTAAAAAAGATACAGTTCTAAAGAAAAACATATTGATTAAAAATGAAGCAACAAACAACCTCATAAATTAACAAAGGTAGTCTTAACATAGCCAGTGGAAGAAAAATTTGTAATTTCCATGTAGAGGACTGTGGGAAATAAGAGTTTATAATCTGAAAAAGAACTGTAGGTATCAATCATTGATCCAGTTAGATAGAACTAGATAAAATTGTATATAACAACAGCTCATTAGGAAGAAAGAGAAGAGAAAACTTTTACTTACACACTCAGAATTCTTTTAAGACTATAGTAATATACTGTATATACAGAAGTCCTCAAAAAAGCAAAAATTAAAACAAAATTGTAAAGAGATGTTTAAAAACAAAGACATGGTAAAGCCAGTGATTTGGTGATTTATAAGCCTTATAAACTCTTGATTTTAGTCTCTTTAAAATTCATTCCAAAGAGGGACCAGTGTAATGGCTATGTTGCTGGACTCCCATGTAGTCAACTGTGGTTCGAGTCCCGGACCTGGCGGCTTAAACTCACGCCAGGCACGAGTGTGTGTGTGCCCAAGATCCCAAGAGGAGAATGGAGGAAAAGGGATTGCGGCGTGGTCTTCCCCCCGGGGGAGGAGGGGTGATTTCTTGCTTTCTATCTCTCTGTCTCTCTCTTTCTGGTTCCAAAGAAAGACTCAGGTACTTGTAACATTTTAGATTTTTCCTCTATTATTTAGCTTTATACAATGAGTAATGGTTCTAATAAGTACATAAATTAAAACCTATAGAAACATCTGTCTATGAA